TAAGATTAGTCTATGAAAGATCCCTCACACAACTCTTCCTATTACTAGGTTCTAGCGGCGAATAATTGACATGATCTTCATGAATCCATTAATAACCATAAACGAAAAGTAAACTAGAAAGATAAGAGCGTTAGGAGAAGAGTTTCACCCAAGGTATGAAGTTATACAACGTTCCGGTGGTGCTTTGTTGGTTGGATCGGAAGTAGGTGGCCTGGAGCAGATTCCGGACAGCAATTTTGGTTCTCAAGGATGCTGGATAGCAGTTTTTTGGGCTCCAAAATTCTGGACAGCAGCAAGGAGGTATTCTTGGACAGTTTTCTTGTTGATTTGGGCACTCCTGGACATCAAACGGGAACTCCCAAATTGTTGGACAGCAAAGGAAACTTGCTGGAAACCTCTGGGATGCGATGGGGACTATTCAATCAGCAGATCAGCGGGATGAAATTGCTGATTTCTCAGTTCTGAAGGAGCAGGTGGCTGGCGGGATATTCCTGGACAGCAAAACAGGAATCTCTGGATGGTGGGCCAGCTGCTGGGTGAAGGCAGAAAATTCCTCAGTAGATCACGGACTAGGGAAGAGTGATATTAGGGAGAAACCTTCCAAACGGAAACCTGAATTTATTTCAGATTAATTTGGATAGGTATTTGAATCTAAGATCCAAATAAAGAGGAGGATTAATGCTCATTCAATGGAGAGAGCCAAGAGGGGGGCCGGCGGCATTTATGAGGGGTAGGGCTTGGGAAAACTGAAAGGAATTTCAGTTTTTAAGTGAGAATGGAGGGAATTATCTTGAAATTAAGGTTTGAATTTCAAAATAGGGAGGGGGATTAATTGGGCAATTAATGGGAAGCCCAATGAAGGGGCCAGCGGTAGAGATAGAGAGAGAGGGAGGGGGGTTTCCAAACATGAATGATGACTAGGAAAATTTTAAATAACTCCAAATTAATTTAATTTATAATTTGAATTCATTAAAAAATTTCCATAAATGGAATTTCCAAATTTGGAAAGAATTTGAATTTTGAAATTCAAATTCCAAGGAAGGCTGAGGAAGGGAGGCGTGGGGGAGGTGGTGGAGAGGGGAGAGGCCGACGACAAGATGGCCGGCCGGTGGAGCTAGGGTGGCCGACGGGATGGGGCTCTGAGGGTGGCGGCACTAGTGGAATCTTCGGCTTCTTCCAACTCTTGGTCGTTGCTTGCGGGAGATTGTGGTGGAGAAGAAGAGTGTTGCTTGAAGAAGGGAGAAAGGAGATAACCAAGAAAATACGAGAAAGATAGAGATAACTAACGAACTCACACAGAGATCGTAGGAACCGCGAACCTCAGACTCTTCCAAAGATTGACGGGTATTACGAATTACCCTCCTCGGGCTTCTCCTCTCATGAACTCACTAAGAGATCACGCGAACTCACTAAGAGATCAACAAGAACATAAAACTTTTCATTATCAATATTCATCATCCCTTTCCAAGAGGAAGGGGAGGGCTTAAATAGCCAAATACATGAGGGAAAATAAAAAATACAATTGCCCCTAGGGCAAACATAAAACAAAGCCTTCAAGTGAGGGTAGAAATGGAAAAGTACAAATAACAAATAAAATACATTAAAATAAATAGACACGATCGTAGCCGTTGATCTTCGATGTCCTCATCATCATAAGCTCCGACCTAAATTAAATCTAACTAAATTTCAAAGCTATGAGCATCTTAGTCTAAAAATGATTAAGTTGTAAGACCCACTTTTCAGGCTACTTCCTCAGGGAAGCCATAAGTCTTACCCAAATAATTTAAAACATCCGGGTAGTCTCACTATAGAGTTAGGTTGTAAGACCCATCCTTGGGTAACTCATAAATAGAGTAATAAGCCCCAATTCTAAATTAAATCCTCGGGCTACTTTCTATGAAAGTCATAAGTCCCAGTCCAAATCTAAATCCCTGGGCTACTTCCTGAAGAAGCCATAAGACCCGGTCCAAACCAACTTCCTGGGTATTCCAATAGATGTAAACCCCAAACCCAAAAAAAAAAATTAAATTTAAACTAAAATCAACATCTAACTACTTCAGTCTACTCAGGATCCCTGAGAGGAGGCAGCCCATGGCTGCTAATTAGATTCCCTAGACACTACGGTCAATGATTGTTAGTGTTGGTAGACTGAAATCTACGGTATACCCGGGACAACGGAACCATGGGATCTTGATCGGGTTTACCTCCACCTTCCCACAATTGAGACAAAAAAAAATCTAAAATTTATTCATCCTTAATCGAGAGTTCTCTCTTACGTAGTAAGAGGGGTAATTAACTATGGGCGCTTGCGCTCATAAGAAGTAAGAACCTCATATCTATAAACCCTGACACTACCCTGATCAGGGGAAATCTGGTTAATTTCAATCTGACTTAAGGGAAGTGGAATCCTACGACTACAAAGCGGGATTCGTGCATTCGTGCCATTTTTCTTGAGCCAACATGGATGCATGTAAAATCTAAACATTTATCCATGTTCAGTGTTTCATTGGTGAGAAAGCAAGTGTTCCAGATTTTTGGATAACAAGATGCTTGCAGGGACTCGCCCTTACATGTTATTCAATTGTTAAGAAAGTCGGGTCGATGAAGAATGGGCAGAAAAGATTACACAAATTCTATTCAGAAATTATAATATGACAGCTTCTGCATAGAATTTGTTCCTTTTATTACATCAGTCAAAACCACTTCTATGTTCCTCGGCATTTATGAGATACAGAGAACACACTGAAAATTAAACAATGTTTGCTGAAAGTTTTCTTGGTAAACCTATTTAAAAAAAATTTAGGATGCTCTCCAACAACCAAGAAAGATTAAAGGTGATGAGGACATCCGACGGTAGACGTTAATCAAAGGATGAGAAGAAGCTAGTGGTAGTTTATGTGTTTGTTTGCCTCTCTTCTACCTAACGATTTTGCAATATACTTGTAGATCATCTCCTTAAATCACTTTCACATATGAATATTGATGTGATTATGTCAGGAGTTAGCAAGAAATGAATAAGAGCTATTGTTGAAAGCTTTCCAATATAAAATTACCGTCCAAAACAAAGAAAGAGTCTAGAGATTCGTAGTTTTTAACTTGCTTAGGCAAAGAAGTGCACGTTAGATTAACAAGACAATTCTATCAAACTTCAAAAACAAGTGTAACTTTTATGAGAGCATAACAAAATCCATATTAATAATGAGAGGTTTCACCTTGAGGACCTTCTCACTCATTCACTAGTGGGGTTAGCGGAAGAAGATACTCCACACTAGAAAAGAGATTACCACTAGGAAGAAGAAGCCTAAGATCTTCATTAATGGAAAGGTTGTCGGCGACAGATGGATTGGTGGGCGTCCCACAATCGACCACGATCCGATTGGGAGGCGCTCCTCAATTGCCGGTGCCAAGGTGATGGTGATGCGGTCAATGTAGCCTTCCACGGAGTCGTCGATGTTCAAGTTCAAATCGAAGAAGGTAGATCGAGGAATGTCTTTCCTTCCTTGGTTATCATATGCGAACCAGAGATTGACTTCAGTATCCGCCATCCATGGACTAGGAGGAGCTTCTTCGTTCTTCGTGGCCTTGAAGGGGAACCGGCGGTGGGAAAGGAGAAGGGGAACCAGAGGTGGAAAAGGAGAAGGAGAACAGTGGGGTCAGCGGTTTGGGAAATTGGGATGAAGAAGGAAAAGGGAGGCGGCTAGGGTTAGGTCTAGTGAGGTGGAAAGAGGGGTTTAGAAAATCTGAAGTTAAATTCAGATTTTACTAAGAGAGGGGAGGGATCAATTTGAATTTCAAAATTATCCCAATTTGGGCTATAATGGAGCCGGTGGTTTGGGAGGGAAATAAGTGGAATATTTAATGTGAATTAAGGGAGAATTGGAGAGAGAGAAGATCGGGCGGATGAGGGGAGGCCGGCGGCTTAGGTAGGTGGTGATGGTGGCGGGTTAGGGAGAGAAAAGGGCGGGGTAATTGAGCACTTTCCTAATATGGATTATATCAATTTAGGAAAGAATTCAAAATCTGAATTTGAATTCAGATTTTAAATTGGAGTTCCCTCCTAATCTTCATGCTTCACTTTTGGAAAGAGGCAAGACAATCAATTTTGTATCCATCGGTGGGGAAGGCCGACGGTTAGGGTTTGGGGTTTGGGCGGTGTTTGGCTAAGGAGGAAGGGGTGTGGGTTAAATGGAAGGGATCTTGTTGAGGTTGATCGGCGGCTTGAGGACTTGAAGTGGCCTGCGGGTGTTTGGGGAAGAAGAGGTGGCCGGATGTAGGGGAAAGGAAGAAATGATAAGAAAATACTACGAGTCCCGGAATCCACCGGCGGCTGACGGGTGTTGCAAGGCCCTCTCCTAGAGTTTCTTCTCTCAAGAACTCACAAAGAGATCAAGCAAGAAAATCTGGAATTTTTCATTCATAATCATCATTAACCTCATTCATAAGACAAGAACAAAACAAAAGACCAAATTACCCCTTGGGGTTACTTGCATCTAGTCCCTCAAGTGAGGGTAAAATCGGAAAAGAATACTAAAATAATTAAATTACAATACATCAATCAGAAATAAAAGATGCGAGCATAGCCGTAGATCTTCGATGTCTCCTCGCGCTAGAATATCCTGTAGATGTTCTCATCAAATATTCTCAGGTCTCTAGCCAATCAGTCCTTGAAATGGCTACACAGCAAATTCCACCATACAATCGTGGCCATCACCTTTGTTTACCACGTTATGTTAATCTACTAGTGTAATGTAAACTAAAATTTGAATTTTCTGTATGTTTTGCTTGTGATTTATGCAGTAAGAAGAATTTTAAAAGGATATATGTTGGTTTTTTATAAAGTAAAAAATTTGATATATCCTAGTTATCCATATTGCACATACATTTTCTTATTATATTAGAATGCACAAGTTGTTTCCTTAGCTACAGTAAAGTGAAATGCCTCGCATGTTGGGAACATTTAAGATTTATTTTTTGACTTACGTATGTTTGGTTCTTGTTAGCTTCTTGTCAACAAGACTCTTTATGAAAAAACATTAGCGAGTGGCTTTGGTTCAGTCCATTTTCTTCTAGATGCATCAGAACTGCAGCAAGTAAGACTCAACATAGAACATGGTTTTTATGGGAAATTACTTGTCATCAGCCCTCTTTATGACTTTTGATATCTTGGCAGTACAAGGAAGCAATTTTGCTGTATGCAATTTTACTGCACCCAGAAAAATATGAGGTACGCTAATTTTTTAGTTTCTTTTGTGGTTATAGAACAGAAAACATACAAGAAACATTTTTCTTCTTCTGTTCCATTATTTAATGTACTTTTTGTTTGCATTATCTTTTCTTTGTTATTTGCTTTTCTTCAGCCTCTCTCCTTTTGCTATTCTTGATGCCTTGTACCGGAAACCTCTATTTAAGATTTGTGAATAAGGGAGGCTAAGATTTTGTAGTCTTTTTTAGTCCATCGCTGCTAAGCCATTTCAACCATAATTATTTTGCCTTCTTTCTCTTCATCCAGAAAGAGCTAATGTGACTATCTAGAGAATCTTAGTTAACAGGTCAAGCATAACTTATATGAAATGATTTGAATAGCACACAAGATACAGGCTTCCTCTAAAATGTTCTCATACATTGATACCAGACACCTGCAGAAATTCTTTGAAGGGAGGAAACCTTTTTGTGATTTACAAGGATGACTATCCCGGTGAAGAGATCAAAATCTCAGGCTGCAAGGAAGAGGAGATGTTTGGGGAGGTGTTGTGGAACTTCTTAAAAGACGAAGTAAAGGACAGGGTCGAACTTAGAAGGGATAGGGTTTGGCTTAGTCTGAGGTGAAAGGTAAAGAATAATAACTGAGAAGAGAGAAGCCTGGGCAATAGGAAGTACCTTGAGGTAGGAGAGGCATATGCAAGAGGAGCCACGATGGTTGGAGGGAATGTTACGATAACCTGATTAAGGAAGCTACCAAGTGGCCTGGAGAAATTTAATTATTTATTTATTCCAAATTATTTATACTATTTATGCAATCAATTTATTGCAATCAGTGATATAGAATCAACCCTATACTAAAATACAATCATGTTGAGGCAATGGCATCTACAGAAAAAATTTTAACATAAATTTATCACCAAAAAATGATATAAGTACAACATGAGATAATTACAAAGAATATATATAATTAAAGAGATAACATGATGGTCCAGATGAAAATCCTTCTAAGGCTTAGGAAAGCTACATAAACACTTGAAACACCGTGTTTGAAGGTTGGTGAATTTTGGGGAGTGATGACAAATTTCATTCTTATTTCTAGCCCATCTGGTAAATTGTTGATATCTACTATTCACAATGGAAAGAGCACACTGAATTATCCTATCAAAATCATAATATTGTTCTGAAATATGATCATCGACATCTTCATTAATTATATGGAGATCAAAGCCCTACATGGGATCCTGGTTGGGTACCCATTGGGTACCCACGCTTTGTGCTGGCGGGCTTTGCCCACCCATACCCACTTATGGTGACTTTTGGTATGTTATACCCACCCACACCCACCCACTTTCCATGCTTCTTGAATACAATCTTCTGCGGATTAATGGCCTTGAGGTTTGTTGCCCTTTTCTTTAACTACAAACTTTCAAGTTACATATTAAAATTTATCGTGGTCGCAGCACGGTTCAGTGTTGCGCACTACATAATAAGGATTACTGTAATATACTGCATGCATATGATGAGTAGTAATGTAAATCAGTTTGTCCCCTGATGTTGAGTACCCACCCATATCCACCCACAAGGTCATGGACATACCCATACCCACCCATGCCCATTGGGTATGGGTGGGTACATGGGTGGGTGTGGGTATGGGCACCCAATGCAGGGCTCTGATGGAGATAAGAGGCTGATAAAATATGTTGATCAAGATTAATGTTTTTGTTGCAGGTGATATGGTAATCATATCTATGTGGCTAGGAATGGGGAATACAACATGCTTTTTGTTTTCATAGGAAGGTCTAAAATTTGCTTTAAATTTTGAGTGCAAACATGAACTGGTGGAGAAGTAGTAATTATAGTGGCTGAAGGTAGGAACAGATCATGTGTAATTTGTTTCTATTGATAACTTATAATGATATGATGAGGTCAATGAGCTGAACTTAAAAATTACCTATCAAAAGCCTAACATGAATTTGCATGTAATCTCTAGATTAAGATAGCCCAAAGAAAATTTACCCATGATAGAAAAATTGAGCTTACTGAGCTCAGAGATCTCATCTTTAATGAAAATGAAGGTAGAATTGTCTTAGAAGGTACATGATTGCTTCTGTTGAAGTGGGACTTAAAAAAAATAAAAAAACAATTGGAAATGATTAAATGATGAGTGATGAATTCTTGAATCCTGTAGACCTGATGCAAGCAAAAATTAGGGAAAAGCTCCAAATTTTTGCAAGCAAAAACTAAGACTTCCTAGATAAAAGAAGATATATAAAATACTCAAAAATAGGCAAAATACATACTAAAAAACAACTTTCATATTATAATAGACTCTTAAAAACTTGGACACAAACACACACATCTAAAGTTGCATTTCATTGGTTGAGAAAAAAGGTACGGGTGGGGTAGTCACTTGCGGATAGAAGAAAGAGGTTAGAATTCCAAGACGAAGATAGGAGAAGCTCGCAAGCCTTCCCAAGAAGTAGAAGAAGAAGAAGAGGTGGAACAAGCTCTCAAGCTTTTCCAAAAAAAAAACCATCAGTTTTTCTATTCCAAAAATCAGCATACATCATCTCACTAAAAAACTTTTTATTCACCAAACATCACATATTTATGGGACTTGAGAGGGCAGCCAAACAGCCACATAAACCTTTATTTAAACCAATTAGCTAAGGGGAAGAGGAAGGGAAAAAGCTATCACAAAACAACTCCCAAAAATCAGCACAGGAACTGGGTAGGAGAAGACATGGGAACACAGCTAGGGAGGGACCCGAGCAGACAACACATGAAATGGGTAAGAGAAGCCACGAGAAAGCAGCTAGGGAGAGAAACCGAAAAGCCTACCCAGCAGCCAGTCATGGGAACAACACAAAAAAGAAACCAAGGAGACACAAGAAGGGGAAGAGGCAGCCACGGGAAACAGCCAGGGAATAAACCTTTTCATAGTAATGAGCTAGCAACATGAAGACCCCAAGATTTCAGCTCAAAACCAGTGCAGCAAAAGCCCAATTCGAGAGCAGCCAAGACCCAAACCGAGAGACAGCAAGCAGCCCAAAGAACAAAAGGAAAAAGGAGCCAAGTGGGGGAAATCGAAGGGCCATAGAGAAGGGGGGAATAACCACATTCACTTCTCATAATGAGCTAAAAAGTAGGAGAACTAACCAAGATAATGAGCTAAAGTCACAGCTCAATATTTATGAGCTAGAACCACTTAGTTCTAAAAAAATCAGCTCAAAACCAAAGCAGCCAAAGACCAAATCTAGAGGCAACCAGTAGCCCTAAGTCCACCAAATTTATGTTTTGATTTGGCCCCCCTTTGCCTACATCAAGACCCCATAAACTTTCGCAAAGGAATGTTGAGTGCATAATGCAAGAAACATTATCTAAAGATATGAAAATAATGGGAGGAGCCTCTGAGAAGATAGGGGCCACCAGAACAAGCAGCGATGATGACAGTGATCGAATAGAGGGTGAAAGTGCTCTGATGGCACTTGAAAGTTCGACAGGGATGTTAAGCTCTTATGAACTAGTCCCAAAACTAACTAAGAGGGGGATGAATTGGTATTTTAAAAAATCTTTCGATCAAAACACAATCTTAAAACAAAAACCAAGATTCACCAACTACAAGAAAAATATTCAATGGCAATACATACAGATGAACTTTGAATTAATATATTCAACTTCAAATTTAATGTGAACCATTTGTAATCCATAAAAAAATTTGAACAAAAATAAAATTGAAATTTCATATTGAACAAAAATTTCCCCAAACCTTAACTAATTCTCCTGGTAAGAATAAACCAACGGAAAAAAAAATTTAGCCACAAAAAATAAATAAAAATAAAAATGAATAATAAATAAATAAATAAATATATATATAAATATATATATATATTATAATTATATATATATATATTATATATATATATATATATAATATAATATATATATATATTATAATATATCTTTTGATTTATTTTGAAGTGGTACAATAAAAATTTAATCAATCATTTCATATACTTACATCGCATTTATTTCAAAACAAAAAAAAACAAGCCATTACTCAATTGAATCGCAATTATTAACAGAACAAAAAGGGAAATGCAGATCAACCTCTAAAAATTAAAAAAATAATTATTTGCAGAACATGACGCATAAACATCGTCCAGAGATTCAAATCAGAATGCGACATGTCAGCGGTACGAGCCACGTGCCGGAGCAGTACCAAGCCACCGTATCGGGCATTAGGTGACATGGCACATTTTGTGTTGGTTCCGACACGGCATTCATGTCTGCATGCAATTATATATAGCTGTGTCTTAACATGAATTTATTCTAGTTTCTGATTCAGCTTACTACTGTTATATTTATAATCACATTATAAATTCATGTGGTACATGAAAACAACATTCTTGAAAGAAATTATATTTTAACTAATTACATTCATTATGTTAAACAAACATTACAACAACTAATTACAGCTCTATGTTGATTTTTCAATGATTTGGAACAGTAAATCTGAGAGATGTGGATTTGTTTATTCACAACAAATCTAGAGAGATCCATGATGCCATGGTCAAGCCTCAATGATGTGGGCTACGAAAATTTACACCTCGCCCTGTTGCTTGGATAGTTTTAGTGTTAATATTTTCCAAGTTAAATTTTCAGGAGTAAAAAGCTTAAATAGTCGCTCCGACTATTATAAATGGGTCTCTAATTTAGCCCCAAAGTTCGCATTGCCCTACGTTTTGTCCCTCAATTATTAAAAATTGACTTCCAATTAGTCATCAAAGCAAAAAATAAAAGTTGAAGTTAACTCCAAAGTTAAATATGAAAGGTGTTTAGCATTACAAGTATAATAAGGATTATATTTCTTACATTACTCTATTTTTTTCATCTTTGGGCAGTCCCCGTCGAGTTTCTGGTATTGTGAGAAAGCAAATGCTGTCGTCTCCTTAGCTATTCGCTCGCACTCGTTGCCTCTCGCTCACACCGCGTTGCTTGCGACCTCTTGTTCTCGACTGC